GAATACTGTAAGTACTGTGCCTAAGTGTTGTTCACACATGGCATAAACTTATAGTCACATATATCATAGGGTATGAATTTGGGTTCGATTCAAACAATCCAATTTTTATGGAAAAAGAGTGCATAGCTCTCAAAGCAAGACTTATATATACTCCAGAACAGATGCAAGAGTAGCAAAGAGTCAAAAGCCATTACTTGTTCCCATTTCCAAACATGCGGCTGTCTTCCATAATTAATATTTGAAGTGCTCCTAACTGTATGAAGAAATGGGGCGGGGGGGGGAGGGAGTAAACTATGCTTCCTCTCAGGGTTAAATAATACAGAAAACTCATCTTTTTTTTTTCCAGATGTTTTATCCTGCCTTTTTATAAATAACTCAAGGAGGCAAACATACCTAATACTCCTTCCTCCTCCTATTTTTTGAAAAACAAAGTAGGTATCCCGATCTCCTCTGGTGAGAAGAATCAACAGACCCAAATAACCTGGATTTTATTCCAGGCTATTTAAATCAGAATTTAAAATAAACTCAGTTTGTTTCTTTATTATTAATTATTTCCATGAAAGGACGTCTATAATTGCTTATGAACTCTTCACGAAGGTGTCACATAAAAATAGAAGCAAGAAGATCTACCTTATGAAGGGAACATGAAGAGGTCTTACAAAAATGAAGAGGCAAACGCCCACAAGCTGTGCTGAGGTCAACAGAATATATCGATGTGTCCTTGAAAGAGCCTTCTGAATCTGTTCTCCCCATATCTTCCTATTGGTTGTGCTAAAAGAAAGAGTTATATTTCTTTGAACATACTTTTCCATCAGATAATTTAACAAAATTCCATGAAACATTTTATGCTTTTTTAGTTCTAACTATGGACCCAGTTAGTAGGTTATTATTAAATCATACACACTACATATATCAATATGACATTTCGATCCTCAGAATTCCTAGGATGAAAATTCATATTGAAGCTAAATTCCCTTCCCACAGCCATTAGCAATCTTGACCGAAGACATTAAGGATTGCTTCACCCTCTTTCTCAGCAATCCTATTGAGCATAATTGCTTTTTCTATTGCCATGAGCTGAAAGAAAGCACCTGTTCCGAGCTAGGATGAAGGTTCTTTATCTTCCCATGACCTTGTGGTGAAAATGGGATACGTGGAGACCTGAAGCATGATATGCAGTGTCTTGGTACATATGAACACTCACATCCATTGGCCCATAACCAGCAATCCATGTGATCTTCGTGGTCAAAAGGGTTGTCAATTCTAAGGTACTGGTTCATATATGAGTAAATAGCAGCTGATGACTTTCAGCTGAATTTGTAAATTTGAAATGTATTACACTGGTATCAGGTGATACAAAAAGTCTATTGTGAATGTCTCTGCAGATACACAAGTCATTTGATCCTACAGTAACAGTTAATGAATATGTATGAATGAATCAGCTCCTAGAGATTTGTAATCGTTTTATTTGTTATATTTATATAAAGCCACTGAAGAGTACTGTACCCTGGTTAGTTTATAGCATACAGGGATGAAATACAATTTAAAGACACAACATCAAGTAACTATTTGGACTATAAAAATGTCCAGTGTAAAAATAACCATATGAAATAAACTAGATAATTAACAAACACTGAACAAACCCATATTTCAGGAAATCAAAAATACTTTTGAGAATAAGAAAGACTTCTGATAGTTTTGAAATTATCATGAATAAGGAACTAGGTGAATGAAATAATGCAGTTCAACAATTCAATTTCAACCTACCTCGCATTCACAATATTGCCAGCATTTAATTCTACCATTTCTTCAAATCCTACAGCAAATATGTCAGCAGGACAATGATCATCTGTTGTGATGGGGAGGGAAAAATCAAACACATGAATTGATTTGCTACTTAATCTAATTATTCTATTTCAGGAAGGGAGATAAATGAAACTTGCCTGCCCAAATGTACGTGATTAGTTCGTACTAGAAGTATCTAAAAAACTTTGTTACTCTTACAATGGAACTGGGCAGTCCTAAATGTCATCCTCATATATTCACACATACTTACAAATGCATACATACATATGCATATTTTCACCCTATAACCTGTAGCACTCTTTATTACCTTGAAACTCTGAAACCCCACAGAGCTTAGGGGAATCGAGTAACCAATCTGTTAGCTCGCTGGTACCAAGGATATTGCTCTTAAACTGTTTGCCTCCATTTACATTCCAGGTCCCCATGGCAACACGAATTCTCTTGAAGTTTGTGAATTCAAATTGACGCTCTGACATGGTCTTCAAAGTGCTTGGTGTCACTAATGGAGATGGGGAGAGAGAGGAAGGAAAGCTATTTTTTCCTTTAAAATAAAAAGGCTATATGAGCCAATGGCACTGATTACAAATTATCTCTTGATAATTATTTTGCTGTCATGCTTCCAAGCATTTCCTTTACCAGGATAAGCATGTTAAATTATACTGAAGCCCTTATAGCGATAATGTTCATTAAGTAGGCACGTGAACAGTATGAGAGTAGACCCATTATCTTTTCTACAAGGAGGAGCATTCTTTGCATGGTATGTCCATTGTTTAGAAAGGACACGATATTTGCTGATTCTACCTTCTTTCAGTGTTCTGAAAGGTCATCCAACTTTCTAGAGCAGACTGAAGGGGCATTAGAAAGTGGAGGACCAAGAAAAAAAAATGGTGGAGATGACCAGCTCCTTTATTCTATCAGTAGGGTTCGGTTGCTGGGTTAGAATTTCCCACCGATAGAAGGAACCTTTCGCCTGTAGGACACTGATTTTGGATACAACCAAGAAACTGGCTGAATATCTTACTGGGAAGTACCAAACATATAACGCTGAAAATTTTGCTGAGAGTAACAGTGAAATCCTGTGGAGGCTTACTTAAGTGGATTACTCTCAAGAAATATACAAGGGCAGACAAGATAGGACTGCAGAACCATTGAAATCAAAATGATCTTGCTTACTCAACAACGCTGTATGATCCAGCAGCATTCTCTCTTTATCTGCACACTCTTCATTGTAGAAATCACCCATAAGCAGTAAGTCAATGGCTTCCTGTTTCACACTATCAAAAAAGTTGGACTGAATGGTCAGTGACACTGACCGGGCACCATCCTTGAATTTCCCAACCTATATAAAAATATGATTAACAAATTTAATTTAATTTAATTTCACAGTTATAATGTGACAGAATAACTGGAGCTCACATTTTTCTTTACCTTAGCTTTTCCTTCTAAAGCACGGCTGCCTGTAAAAATCCTGCTTAGATTGTGCCCATTGAGGGCCCACATTACTTTGTAAGACTCTAAAAAACGTTCAATTGTAGGTTTGGAATTTAATCCCATGCTTTCTAGTTGACTTTGGAGAACCTGATTTTAAAAAAGAAAAATACAGTGCAGAATGAGAGAAAACAAGAGTCAAATTTCTCACCCACATAATATCTAATGTTCGCTTGATAATTCCCACTGTAGGGGTTTTGCTCAAAATAATCTCAGAAACTGAATGATGTATCACTCACCTCAAGTGCTATGAAGGTTTGGACAGTATTAGTTCGATTTAGACAATCCAGGCAATTCATTCGAATGGTACCCATCTGTTGACTTCAAAAAACAAGTCAAAGAACTAAAACAATTAGTACTGTACCTCCCCCTATGGGTTTAGTACTCTATTAAGCAATTCTAGCATGAAATTTTAGGATCTTATAGTCAATAGTACAAGTCTTAAAGCAGTAGCACAAGTCCATAAGGATCCAGATTGTGCACTATTAGCTTCCTTTGCCACAGTCTACCAAGGATGTGAATCTGGGAATCCTAGAATTGGCTAGATCAGCTTTCCCCAAAATGGTCTCCTCAGAACTGTAGCCCAACTCCTAACAGAGTGGAAAGGCAAGACTACATATTTCACATGTTCATTCTCATACGACATCATAAGAACAATTAATTGTTTGCAAATATACCAGGATTCATGCTTCATATTCATTTGCTTTATAAATGGATGAAATTGAGAGATCGGCAACAGATATGTGGTCTCAAAAGTGTCTGTGCCTGAGCCAACAACTTTCTAAACTATCCTATATATAAAAGTGTTGAAGATTTATAATTTAAATAATCTCACTTGCTCAAAAATATCAAGTCATTTATAAGCAAGATAGCATAAAAGACCCACAGCTGTAAAGTTCGAGCATGAAAAACTATTAAGTAAAAAGCACAAATGTGTGCTGATGAACAACAATACTCACCAGGAACTTGCATTTTCACCTTTTGTGAAGATGCCTAATTCTTCCCAGTGCAGCTTTAGCTGAGGCCCCAGCAAATTCTCCAGTTTCCCATCTTTTGCAAAATGGTGGTAATCAAAATTAATCATTGGCGTGTCTATTGCATGTGATGATGCCCAAAGCAATTTCTGATAAAAGAAAAGAACAGAAAAAAAAGTCTTTCTTTTTGTTACTTTATCTGTAAAAGCATTTGTGATAACATGCATTGATTTGCTGGTGAATATATCTAACAATACAGCCAATTGTGGAGTTAACCAGAAGTAAATCCACTAAATGTTTATATTCAATTACTTTAATGTCCATCCCTTATCAATTTCAAGAGCATAAAGTTTCTGTAACATGACATCACAGAAAAAATTGGGATTCACCCTGGGATTTAGTTATCTATCCCTTAATGTTCTCCAGATGAATTAGTCCAACAGTCAAATTGGCAGGGGATGACATGAGTGATAATCCAATACTTTGGAGGGGCCAGGTTAAGAAGGCCAAATTAGCACTTATGATACAGCCGCACAGCAGTCTGTTTTTTGCATTCACAGCCTGGCTGTTTATCTAATAGTTTTTCTTATAGCTTGGGAGACAGAGAAAGAAGTAAAAAGAAAAATATAATTTGTTCCCAGAAGCATTAAGACAGCGTAAGTAATAAAATCTATTTCTCATGTAATAAATTATTATAGTAGAATATTTGAGGGGTCCAGTCCTACATTGAAAAAATATCTGCCAAGAGACTACAGAATTTGGCAGAAACCCCTATAGACTGGCAGAATGCAAGATATGCTACTGTCACAAAAATCACTGGTGGAATATTCCATCAGGAGACTCATTTCACAAACCAATCAGTGAAAAGGAGACTTGACTTATGGACAAGATGAGTGGCAGAGAAAGAATATTCTTACATTATATTATATATCAGCACTTCAATCTGCAGTTGTCACCTCTGCCTTTCAATGGTGTTTTACAACAGCTCAGACCTGGAGCAAAGGATTTTCTTCCCAACTGACTTTTGGTGGGAAGACTGAATAAAAAATATTGCTCCTAAGTCAACAGCTAGTTTTCCAGGTCTCCACAACAGGATGTATAACATTGTGTAATGCACTATCACAGCATATCACCACAAGTATACCAAGTGGATCACAAGTACAAGTAGAACAAAGCTAAGGTAGCCTCTCTGGCTTCACATGTGCTCACAAATGGGAATATGGTATTTGAACCCCCAAAAAGGGAATTTACATGTTGCCTCCACACCTCTTTTACCATATGTGAATTCTTTGGCTTTGGCTGAACTGTACTGCATAATATGGCTATGACTAACAGGTGTAAAATGATTAGCAAATTCCTCCACCCAATTCAAAAGCCTTATACTTATTTGTTTAGTGCTGTAATTTCAAAGATTTCCACCCTGCCCTTGAAGCTTGTCTTGTACACAGATAGCAGGGTTGCTAATGCTAAACTGCTACTGCATTTTTACTCTCTCACTAGTGATATGATCAAGCTCACTGCAAAGTTCCAAATGGCCAAGATCCAAAATAAACTCCAAATGGCAAATGGCCAAGATCCAAAATAAATTCAAGAGAAAATCACCGTGTATATAAAGGCTGCTTCTGAGAGGAGAAGAGGCAAGCATCCCCAACTTGTGTCTGCCACTAGATCTGTTCCTTTGGCAACTGCCCACACATCTTTGACTATTTACAAGCCTCAGTATGTCATAGTTTACTTGGGAATGACTGAAGCACCACCAGCCCAGCATGAGTCATTGTTCCAAGCACTCTATCCAATTCTGCAGCTGTATTAACAGTTAACCTCACAGAGAAATTACAACGATTACCTCTAAGAGATACTAGTGAGAAAGGCAGTGGGCCCAAAGACACTTGCCTTGGTACTCCCCAGAGCTTCTGTTCCCCCCAACTTTGTTTTTAAAAGACCACTTAAAAAGTTAAAAGAGAATAAATGGGAAATCAGCATGCTGTCAACACTGCTGTTGTTTCCCAAAAAGCCTCTAGGTCCTACATGTAAAAAGAGGTCAGCTAATGCTTTGTTTGGAACTATATTCTCCCACCCAAGAAAATGACAACTTTAACCTGGGGTGACAGAGAGGCCTCTTGTGGGCTAGGAGGAATGGTGAACAGTGACAAGTAACTGTCCCCCATCTTTCATTAGTCAGCTCTTTGAAGCCTTTACCTCACAGTTAGGAATCAAACACAAGCTGCACGTGGTGTACAGGCCCCAGAACAGTGGAAAAAGGAAACTCTGTCTCTAACACTTACATCCATGGACAGACTTTCTGCCAACCATTTTAGCAAGCATCAGAAGCTCCATCTCCAGCTCAGCTGGATGCAGTCCCTATGAAACCCTGTTTGGTTTCCCCGTGCACCTTGGGGTATACGGGGAAACCAGGGGAGGATGGCTTAAAAAAAAAACTTAGCAGAAGTACGAACAGACATGGCTAAAGCCTTAGAAGAAGCCGATGCTGGTTCCAGGGAATCCAAAGTTATCCCAAAGTGATATTAAACCAGAGGATCAAGTTACAGTGAAAAAAAGGAAAAAAAGGAAAACCAGGGGGAGCCCTGGGACCTCGATGGAAGGGACCCTCCTTTGTCCTTCCCTCTTTCTCCCTAATTTGTTCCCTGCTTCTTTTGTCCCCCCCCCCCCCCTTTCGATTTTATCCACAGGATCCAAGCTATGAAGACCTACAAGAGTATTTAGTACTCTTCCTGGGAAAATGCCTAGAAGCACAATTCTAACAACATTTCTTTTCCATAGCATTGGCACAAACAGCTATGAACAGCTCAGCTTTTTGCATAGGGTGACTTTTGGCAGTGGGAGGGATCACATCCTCCTGTTTCTCTGGAAAACCCTCAAGCCTAGAGACATTAAGAGATGTTACTGCTTTAAAAGATTTTACTAATGACTTGTGGGAAGAAATGTTCTTTCACTTTGGATTTCTCCAGAACCGACACCATGGACAAACCACAGGAGAGTGACCCTGAACCTTTTAGGTGTAACCAATCCAACTCAATATATATATTTCACTAACCTTAGGAATCATAAATACCTACTGTCCTCCAACTGTCCTGTTTTTACCGTTGAAAAGGTTTACAATATCTCCCATGCCTCCAAACCTTTATTTTACCAAAAGATTTCTTTTTGTTATGTGGGCATGAGGCTCATATTCATGTCCCAGCCTACGGTTCGGGGGGCGGGGGGCTTGTGCCATTGGGTGTTTGACCTCTCTATATGTCCTGCCTGAAGGAAAATTGTTCAAATCTTGCTGTTTGTATTATTTGCCTTTATATTAATTTCATCAATCTTTCAATGAGTTAAATCTGTTTTCCTGAAATATTGTACCTACATGCCAACTGAACAGCAAACGTATTGGCAAGAATACATTAAAAAACCTGTAATGCTCTGCGTGGGTAACGAGTGAGCCCCATTTTTGTGGCATTTCCTGTTTTAACTCGATGCCAAGGGGAGGAATACAAGTGAGACTAAGCTGAAGCTCCCATAACTAAAAGATGAAGCAGATGAAGCAGGCACTTAAGCAGAGAGGACAAAAGCCAGGAATCTTATCTAAAAGATCCTTTTGAGGAAGTAGATAAGGAAACAAATCATTAAGGAAACAAAGGAAAAAATGTCACCTGAACCAGACAAAGGAAATTGGGCCTCAGTACATGGAAGCCTTCTCTCCCAATCCCATCAACAGCTACCAAACTTGTAAATTAACAAGGCAAGAGTAGCTGCCAGTCTTGTGAATCAACAAAGCAAGAACTTTTGGGGATAAAAGGGGTCCTGAAGCCCACCCACTCCTTGAGTCATCTTTGGATCCAGACTTGGCGGCTTCCATCCCTCTAGCTAGTGCCTGGCAGCCTAGCTGAGAAGGATGTGGGTAAGTGTGGATGAGTGTGTGTGCGCGCGCATGTGAGAAAGAGCAAATGTACATTGTAACCAGTAAAGTTTTGCTGTTGCTTTAAATTCACTGGGTCTCCGTGTATTCCAAAGAACCTGTTGTGCCTCAGTGTTCCGTTGGAAGTGATATGTGCATGTTCCTAATTGCTTCCCTCCTGTTGCCCAGGGCTGTGTGTCTTGTCTGCTGTCTGGAAAACCCAGATAGAAAGCAAGGGGGGCTTACAAGATCTCAACAGCCTCAACAGGCTGTGAGTGTGTGAGTGACCATAAGTGGAACCTGGGAGCCCCTGTAACAATACTCAAAATCCCAATTATACAAAACATATTTGTAAAAGGAAAATTACTATCTCTGATTTCTCCTGGCCGACTATCTGATATGAAGGTATTTCTTACTTTCATGAGAAGCAAAACTCTGAGCCAAGACAAAATTAGCAAAATGGCTTTGATCTTTGTTTTTACCTTGAAAGCCCTGCTGAGGACTTCCTCTCCTCCTTTGCTTCTCAGCAGATTAACGATCACTTGTTTACCATATTGTTCCTTCAGAAGCATCATATGCCTGTAAAAGTAGTAGAAGGTTGCTTTGATTTCATAAGTAACAGAAGCAACCTAGAATTCTTCTTAAAATACATGTGACAAATGTCAATGATGGCCTTATAACCATATGTGTTTTTCAGAATATCAGCTCAAGAACTTAATTCCTTACTACAGTTTATATTGTGCTCCAAAGGCATAATTGTTCCATATTTTAATAGTCAACCACTACTTCTTACACCCCACAATTTTATCATTTACCTGGTTTTGCTACTTGTTGAGACTGTGGGTAGTTGAAATGATATAGGTAAACAAATTGTGATTGGTTTCTCAGGAAACCTGGTTAATTATTGTAATAAATTCAGAGTGTTACTTATTTTGGGGGCACATCAAGACACCTTATAGTATCGGTGCTGCAAGATGCTTCTCTCAGCCATCAAACTACAATTTTATTTTATTTTTAAAATGTTATTAAAAAATGGATTCTTCCCTTGACTCGGGTATCCAAGACTATTTCAAATGTTGCAAGAAATATACCTACAAGTATTAAGGCATCTACCAGACAGTGCAACAATTCCTCAGGAATCAGTACCGATGTCAAACAATGGTACTGGATGAAAATAACTTGATCCAGTGGTTTTAGAAAACAATTCTTTGTTTGCTACCATTAACACCCCACAGACTAGGCTCAACTTGTATTCCATCAGAGCCAGCAGGAGTCTTCCTCCTGCAGACTTTGCAGCTGTCAACTCACTTGTTTAATTGCTTTTTCCTCGAGCAATTAAGGCCTGCTAAAAAAGTGAGGGCACTTAATCATACAAGACCAAAGAATGACTTTATCAGAGTTTCAGTAAGAGTGCCAGTCCAAATACCTAGAAAACCACACAACTCTTCATAATCCATCAGAATTTACTGGCCTTAGGATGGAACATTTTCACAGATGCCCCACCACCATACTTGCAGAGTAAAAAAGCTGCTGCTATCTCTAAATTTCTAAAAAAAGTGTTGGACAAGAACAGTGAGATGCTAAATCCCACTTCAGATTACCATCCATCTGGATAAAATAAATCCATCCAGAATATGTCCTGTCCTGAGATTTGGATGAACACATGTTAGAATAATCACATAATTTTCTTGGTCATAAAGTTCTGAGTTGTTCAAGATCAAAGCAACTCAGCATTATTGTTGAAGTCTTATCAAACAATAGCTCTAGAGGTTCTTAGCATCCCATTGCTAGGCACCAGCACTCGAACACTTCACCTGATGGACAGCCTATGGAGGGAAACTGTAATTTCTATTGCATACCCTCTGTCCAAGTTCTCCTCTCCTATAGTGCAACTATTTCTCCTGTTAATTAAAAAATAGTGTCAACAACATGGCATTCTCCTAAAGAAAGGTTACTCCTTCCCATCTATTATGGGTAACAGAATATCACTCCATTGGATTGGGTCTACCTTGACGCTGGTTCCTAAAATATGATTGAAAAAGGTTGTTTTTAAAAAGTGATCATACTATGTTTTTCACATTTTGTTTATTTGAGTTATATCCCACCTGTCATTCAGGAGCTCAATGGAGCATACATAGTGCTCTTTCCCCCCATTTTCTCCCACAAAAACAATCCATTGAGGTACACTGGGCTAAGAAAGAGCAACTGGCCCAAAGGCACCCAGGCACCCAAAGGCACCCGCAACATTGATAGCTTTGCCCAAAAATATACACCTATCTTTCTTCAACATTTCTTTCTTCTCAAATGCAGACCTAAATGACAAACAGGAATGTTCGTGCAAAAGAGGGAAATGGATCTAAAAACCGTAAGACATGGCTCCATGCAAAGATTCTGGAACGTTCTACAATGCAAGCTGTAGCATCAAGTTCTAGGCTGCATGTTATCAGCAATATTGCAATTATTAAACTTACTTATCAAAAGCAGGAGCATTTGCCTCCAGGCCTCTGGTAAGTTTCAGATGATGGGAGCCAACCTAAGAGGATAACAATAAAAAGAAGAGGAAGTGATACTTTTAAAATGAATCACTAGATGTCTCCCTTCTTCATTCAGATAAAAGTGTTTCTTTATTATTGCCTAGCAACCACCTTGGCATCCACAAATGATGCCAGAGAACATAGAATGCAGATGTTATTAGAAACCTGGGACGACAAAAAATAATGATGCACAATTAATAGTGTAGGCTTATCTGCCCAGAATCTTCTTTCCAACATTTTTCTATTTCTTCATAAGTAAAATTGCTTGTCCCACTTACGTATTTTAAAAAACTTTATTCTACTAAGTTAATTAACAGAAGCATAACTGCATATGACAGTATTTACCAATATAACCACTTATAAATGTAACTAATGCACTCCCCATCTCTGTATTCCTGAATCTATCCAAACCCAAATAAGCACATTTACAGATGTATTTCATATGAAATGCTATATCATAGCTCCTCCAAAAAGAAAAGAAAGAATGGAAACTCTTATCCTACTTAAAGTTTAAGGCCAGAAATGTTGACATGCCAATTGTAAAGAAGACTTTCAGTACAGCACTAAACATTGCTTTACGCATTCATGACTTATGCTTATTACCTGCAATCCAGGTTGCTCCCAGAATAATGGAACTGATCCTCTGATCTGAACAAAGGAAGAAACATCCGTGTCCAAATAGATAGTCTGAAAAAATAAAAGAAATAACATATATTTAGATTAACGCAACGTTTGACTACAGGTAGTGCTCGTCCAATGTCCGCTGGTTCAGTGACTGTTCAGAGTTATGATGGTGCTGAATGAGGGGTACTTACAACCAGACCTTGTAGTTGTGGCTGTTGCACGTCCCCATGGTCTTGTGATTGTGATTCCGGCACTCAATGACCGGCTCGCAATTACAACGTTGCAGTGTCCCACGGTCACGTGATCGCCATTTGCAACCTTCACTACCAGCTTCCAATAAGCAAAGTCAATGGGCAAGCCAGCAGGAGGACACATATAGTGATCATGTAACCACGGGATGCTGCGACTGTGTGGGATTTGCCTAATGGCAGCTGAGACTGCTGGAACTGCCATTGTAAGTCAGAGCAGTTGCGTGATGTCGCACCTTACAACCGGGTTGCCTAATGATGGAGTTCCCAGTCTCAATTACTGTCGGTAAACAAGGACTACCTCTATTACTTAAAATGTTTTAAATTTTGATTAGAGATCGATTTAGCTAGATTATCAGGTATTTTTAAACTCACAAAATAACAAATAAATGTAATATTAATGTGACACTACTAAGAAGCTTAGAATCCTGATAAGACTTAGAAAATGTGTCATTTAAAAAAATATTTTAAAAAATATTTAATTTTCTTAAGTATTTTTAAATATTTAATTAAATATTTAAAAAATATTTAATTTAAAAATATTCTCTAGCTGTTAACGTTTTCAATATGCTATCTTCACATGTTCAGTTCTACCTATGCAATAATGATACGGGCTTACTTTATACAAAATTTTATTTTGTCTATAAATCATAGAATAGAAAAATATGAATAGAGCCAACCTGTATATCATATAGGGAAGGTTTTCAAGGAGCCATCGTTTTTGTTTGGCTTCTGTTGAATGTATATTTGGTATCTAACCACATTCTATGTAGAACTGTCCCTTTGAGACATGGTAATTAGAACTGTTGTAAGGCCCAGCCCAAGAACAACGGTGAAACAGTTCAGTGGAGTTTAGTTCCTTTATTTGCTTACACCTTACAGACAGAATCTTGCCAGACTAAATCCATACTACACCAACAAGTAGATATACCCTGGGAGATTCTAGGGAGTGGCTACCCTGAACCTCTTTTGCTTCTCACGCTCCTCCTGCCGACTATGCTGACTCTCGCCCCCTCCTCCCTCTTGGAATGCACCCCCTCCTTCCTGATAGCCTTGATCTCTGCTTCTATTCCCCCACATCTTCGTAGATACATTCTATCACAACTGTGCAGGGTATTCTAAATCTGTCTGTGCCATAAAATTAAATAAATGCATTGTGCTAGCATTTCTTTCCTAATGATCCCAGTGAGAGTTTGCCTTGTTTAAAGCAAACAAAATTAAAAAGAAAATAAAAACAATTACAATAATACAAAAATGAAAATACATAGCAGCCAAGAATAAGTCACACATCATAACTAAAATAACCAAGAAACAGGTCCCTGCACACACTTGGGGCCCCAGGGCTGTGCACAGACCAGATCTTTAAGTTAATAATTAATATTAATTAAGAAATTAGTCATTTCTATGTCCATTTTTCTATTTTGGAGAATACTTTTGGATTTTTATGGTCTTTTTTTTTTTTTAAGTACCATAAAAATCCAAGATTCTCCAAACTAAAAAATAGACATAGAAATGACTAATTTCTTTCTTTTTTTAAAGTAATTACACACAAAACTACATAGACCTTTCCCAGGATGCTGTTTTCACCTGGAATGTTTCATTTTTCCCTGTCACTGCCATTTCTTATTATAGAAAATATTGCCCACTCCAAGAACACTGAGATTGGCCTGTTCTGGAGCGGGGGTGGGGGGGAGAGAATGTTTCAAGAAGAAACAAAACATTCCCAGAAGGAACTGCTTCATTTTGAACATCCTTAGTTTCAATCAAATAGCCCCAACCTATATCAGCTGATCTCTAAAAGTTAAGTTGGATCAGCCATGGTTAGTAGCTAGATGGGACACCACCAAGGATCTCAGGGCTGTAGGTTAGACAGAGAAGTCAAGCAAATGTCCCAAAAGGCAATGGCAAGTTATTCCCATATTATTGCCAAGAAAACCACACTGATTTGAAGAAAATTAATTTATTTATTATAGGTATTTTTATACCACCAGCTCAGATGACTGCTGGTGGTTCTAACACTGATGTATCAAGGCCATTTTGAACAAGGAATTAAGCTGTGTGGGGTGTGATTTTCAATTTATTTCCTGCTGCAAAATTCCTTCTCCCCATTTTCACACCTCATGCTGCTTTGTCAGATCCCCCCCCCCATTTCTTTTAATTCTGTTTTTGTAGCAAATGAGCTAAAAGATCAACAGCTGATTTCAGTTTAGAAAGCAAAGAGACTTCAATTTTTTTT